TTGATAAGCAAATAGAGCAAGGGTGGGCAATTCCAGTTCCTGGGGGCCGGTATCCTGCAACTTTTAGATGTGCCTTTGGTTCAACACACCTGAACCAAGTAATTAGTTGATTGAGAGGACTTGTGAGAAACTGACTGCATACTGAGGAAATAACTCAGCCATTTGCTTCAGGTGTGTTTGATAAAGAAAGGATGCAAAACCTTCAGGATACTGGCCCTCAGGAACTGGAATTACCCACCCCTGAAGTAGAGGGTGGCCATATTGATTGACCTGGCCATCCCAAATGATGGATCAGGAACAAAGAACACGAAAAATGAGAAAAATATGAAGGCCTTAGGGAAGAATTCTGGAAAGCCTGGAAGGTGAAAGTAACTGTAGAACCAGAGGTCATTGGAGCACCAGGGGCAGTTCCAGGAACAGTTAAGATACTGCAAAGAACCTGCAAGCTCCCAGGTTTCTGGTAGAGGATCCAAGCTGGAGATGAAGGAACCACTCAGCCCACCCAGGAGTTTGAGGGCTGTGAGAGCAGATATATCCTCATAATCATGGCTGTTGTTGTTCTACTTGGCTGGGCTTGGATCAGGTTTGGTTTTTTTATGTGCAGTTATCCTGACAGGACCTCCTTTGTACTGCACTCAACCTGTGCAGTTTTGGCTTCAGAGTAGCAAACAGCAAAAGTTCATGCCTTCTAATTTAGCAAGTCACTGATTAAAAATAATTAATCACGCTTAATCTCAGAGCTGTGTTATTGCCGGAGATCTCATTGCAAAGGTGTTATAGCAAAGGTGAGAGAAAAAGCTTTATGAAACTTTTTGCTGTCACACCTGACTGTAACTTACAAATTTGTGACCAGCAAGGTTAATCAAGCTGAAATATTTTGTTAAATGTTGAAAAATGAAAGTTTGTCACTGGACTTCATTCTGTGTCTTTACTTTCTTTCTCCAGACTCTGGACCCTTAGTTTGCATTGAAATGTAAACGTTTCTTTTATCTCAAGGAAGAGTTCAGACCACTGAGTAACAGTTCAGGCCTTTTCCTCTCATGATGACTCTGGTTTAGTAGTGGCTTCGTTTGCTCTACGTGTGCCGATACGTCTGTAGTGGCTCTTGGAGCACAGACTCAGCTACAGTTCACTACTTCTGAAACTCAATCAATATCTTGGATTCAGTGGGCTTCACTTTTACTGTTTTCTGTCATACATTTTCCCTCCATTCAATTTTTCCCTTAGTTGATTGGATAGAGAACTTGATGGATGCAGATTTTGGTGAACAGCCAGGGTCTATATCACGCTCTGCTGGATACAGTAACTGTTAATCATACAAGCTTTTGTTTGTTTTTATTATTTGTTTTATTTATGAAGATTTTTGTTGCAGCTGAAATAGAAATTTTCTTTTTCTCCATTTTAAAATGAATTTTTATACTGCACTATGAATTGTCTTCCTACTGAAATGTGCTATTTGTCTTGCCGAGCTTCTTTATAATTAAACACATTCCAAAATATACGCATAAGAAGGCCAAAAACTGAAAGAAAAATATTCCTTAAGCTGTAATGATAATTGAAATTTACATTTATATTACAGTATTTGTTTTCTTATCCTTTTGTTATGTTTTCTTTAAGAACGGCCTCTTTTCTAAGTAGCTGCTAGCTCTTCTGCAGGGAAGATATTCACTACTGATTGCAACTCCACAAGACATAGGCTGTATCCCAATATCTGCCCTAATCACTAGGGCACTATGTAGTGGTTAATCCATTTTAAATGAGTGTCTGAACATCTAGTGGGCGAAAAAGTAGTGGACTAAAAATTTCCCACAATGCACCTTGAAAAGTAGTGATCATCCCTGGACACTAGACGAGCAGATATATCTCAGAATACTGAATTTTGGGATTTTTAGTGACAGTGACCTGCTGTCGCCATAGGCTTTCTCTCCCTGACGGCATCAACAAATGACAAAGATGGCACAGGCAGGGTGCGAGGAGGCAGAGTCACGTGACCAATGAGAAGCAAAAAGTAATGATCATCTGTCCGAAAATTCAATTAACTGAGTTCACTATAAACTCACTTATATACAGGTGCTGGTCATAAAATTAGAATATCATGAAAAAGTAGATTGATTTCAGTAATTCCATTTAAAAAGTGAAACTTGTATATTATATTCATACATTACATACAAACTCATATATTTCAGATGTTTATTTTGTTTAATTTTGATGATTACAAATGACAACAAATGAAAATCTCAAATTCATCATATCAGAAAATTAGAATATTACTGAAGACCAATAAAAACAAAGGATTTATAGAAATGTTGGCCAACTGAAAAGTATGAACATGAAAAGTATGAGCATGTACAGCACTCAGTATTTAGTTGGGCCTCCTTTGGCCTGTATTACTGCAGCAATGCGGCGTGGCATGGAGTCGATCAGTCTGTGGCACTGCTCAGGTGTTATGATAGCCCAGGTTGCTCTAATAGTGGCTTTTAGCTCTTCTGAATTGTTGGGTCTGGTGTATTGCATCTTCTTCTTCACAATACCCCATAGATTTTCTATGGGGTTAAGGTCAGGAGAGTTTGCTGGCCAATTAAGAACAGGGATACCATGGTCCTTCAACCAGGTACTGGTAGCTTTGGCACTGTGTGCAGGTGCCAAGTCCTGTTGGAAAATGAAATCTGCATCTCCAAAAAGTTGGTCAGCTGCAGGAAGCATGAAGTGCTCTAAAACTTCCTGGTATGTGGCTGCGTTGACCCTGGACCTCAGAAAACACAATGGACCAACACCAGCAGATGACATGGCACCCCAAACCATCACTGACTGTGGAAACTTTACACTGGACTTCAAGCAACGTGGATGAAGTGCCTCTCTTCTTTTCCTCCAGACTCTGGGACCTTGATTTCCAAAGGAAATGCAAAATTTACTTTCATCAGAGAACATGACGTTGGACCACTCACCAGCAGTCCAGTCCTGTTTCTCTTTAGCCCAGGCAAGACGCTTCTGACGCTGTCTGTGGTTCAAGAGTGGCTTGACACAAGGAATGCGACAGCAGAAACCCATGTCTTTCATACGTCTGTGTGTGGTGGTTCTTGAAGCACTCACTCCAGCTGCAGTCCACTCTTTGTGAATCTCCCCCACATTTTTGAAGGGGTTTTGTTTCACAATCCTCTCCAGGGTGCGGTTATCTCTCTTGCTTGTACACTTTTTTCGACCACATCTTTTCCTTCCCTTCGCCTCTCTATTAATGTGCTTGGACACTGAGCTCTGTGAACAGCCAGCCTCTTTAGCGATGACCTTTTGTGTCTTGCCCTCCTTGTGCAAGGTGTCGATGGTCGTCTTTTGGACAACTGTCAAGTCAGCAGTCTTCCCCATGATTGTGTAGCCTATAGAACTAGACTGAAAGACCATTTAAAGGCTTTTGCAGGTGGTTTGAGTTAATTAGCTGATTAGAGTGTGGCACCAGGGGCCATCAATTTTGAACCTTTTCACAATATTCTAATTTTCTGATATGATGAATTTGAGATTTTCATTTGTTGTCATTTGTAATCATCAAAATTAAACAAAATAAACATCTGAAATATATGAGTTTGTATGTAATGTATGAATATAATATACAAGTTTCACTTTTTAAATGGAATTACTGAAATCAATCTACTTTTTCATGATATTCTAATTTTATGACCAGCACCTGCTCTACGTAGTGATTGAGGGATTTAGGGGTTAGGCTGGATGTTCGGACACAGACTTAGTTCCAAAGATTTGACACAGCAAGTGAAAGTCATGGCAACAAGTGGTGCAAAGGGAAGACCACACAGGGAGGCTATGTTGTCCTTAAAACAGCCATCCAGAGTTCAATTTCAGATGTCAAGATCTATTATTGCATGTCTTCCCCCTTCCCTTTCACTTTCTGGATAAAACAAGAAGACAACTGAAAACATGTTCTGTATGTCATAGCTCTTAAATAGATAAAGATAAACTGCACACTCCATAAAATGCAGTAACATGCTCTCTGTTTTTTGTAATTTAATTTATTTAGCTCTATGAATGACTGGACTGGAGCACGGTGGCCAACAAATATTAGTTATATTTTTATGGGGAGATATGGATCATACCACAGGACAATGCGTACGTTGAGTGGAAATATGTAGCAACAGAAATTAAGCAAGTGTAAAAAAAAATATATATATATATATATATTCAAATCTTGAGTTGATAATGATATGTGATCTTATCAAACTGATATTTTTATGTGTAAATTCTAGTATTTTTTAAAGACAATAATGGAAAATATACAAAACCAAATTATTATTGAGTTTTTTTTATTATTATTTAAACATGAAGCCAATATTTATAGGAGGTAATGTTTATTTTAGCCGCATATTTAATTGATCTCCTAATGGCCCAGCAGATAAAAAAAATCGCTTTAGAACAGCAAATCTTGGTTCTTGCAAATTATCCACCATTAATGTAGGTATGTCTGTCTTGTTTTTATCAAAACTGCACAAGATAGACATACCTACAATAATGTTGGATAACTTGGTCCTTGCAAGTTATGCAACATTAATGTAGATATGACTATCTTGTGCAATTTTGATCAAAACAAGACAGCTTTAAAAGAAGGTGGTCTGAGAGTCATGTATCACCATCATTGTGGATATGATTTATTTAAAAATAATTTGATAAGGCTAATATATTAAATAGGTAATGCTAGATATGTTATGATTGCCTCGGCCCAGCCCAAAAATGGAGGTAAGCCGAACCAGGAATATGCCTTGAATGGCCGGTCCAGCCCTTGCTCCACCTCACATTCAGAACAGCATCTTAAATCTCAGGCAGTGATCATATTAAGCCCTAAAAATAATATATTTATCATTACATTTAGTAATCTATTGATAAATATATTATTCCAGTATACAAAAGTTAGCAAATCCAAGGCATAAAGATTTGATGCTACCGACAAAGTGAATAGAAATAACATTAATTTAAGAAGAAATGGGTGAGATGGTTCGTACCTTCCAGTCGCCTGGTGGCATCAGCTGCTCAGGGTTTTCCTGGTCAGGGAGAAAAGCACATAAAACATAAAAACTATTACATTAGAAGGAGAAAAGTTGATTTGACTTTAGATACTGAGTGGGGCATCTATCATTGTGGAGCGGTGAAAGCAGTGATCTGTAGGTCCAAAAATGAAAAAAAAAACCTTGTCAGCAAAAACCATGCATATTTATCTACCATCAATTGCTTTCTTAAGGTGCAGAAAGAGTATATCATGCCTTTTAAATATTAGCCCCTTAAAGTATTTGGATGTTTTAGCCTTCTCTTGCTTGTAAAAATGGAATTGTACTCAATGAGAGTTTCGGGTTTACCAAAAAGAATTACACAAAATACTTTTTTACTTCAAATGAAAATTGATTTTTACCAAAAAATAAGTAAGAAAAGAAAGCTGATGACATCCTAACAAAGCAAATACTTTGTTATTCAAGACACCTGAAGCAACGTTTGCCATGATGTAACTAGAAGGTTCATTCTTTAATGAGGTTAAGAGATTTTTTTTTTTTTTTTTTGCTCGGTCATGTAGGGCCTGATCTTCAGATGGTTTGCATCTTAAAAAAGGTGCAAACTTGTTCTTATGCACAAAGCAAATCTTTGAAAAAAAGATGCAAGGTGATTTGCATTTAGAATTCAGCAGACCATTTATTGCATGAGTTCCTTCATCAATACGCAGATCATTTTCTAATGACCAACCTGCACAGATTCATGTGTGGAGGATATGCAAATGTAACATTGACCACGTGCAAAGAGATTTTCCAAATCTGAAACTTAACTTTTCTTGCCACAAAGGATGCCTTGGTACAAAGTCAGACGATGGAGAGATATTCTGTGCGCATGTAAACATATTTGGACCGTCAGAAAGGACAAAAGTAGAATGATATTACTAAAGAAAATAAGTCTATGAAGGTGTGCTAAAATTAATCCGCTGAATCTTTATACAATTAAACTAAAAAAATAACTAAACTTAAGTATTGTAAATTTTATGGTATTGTAATTTTTCTTTATCTAGCTTTAACTTCAGTTTTTTTCATAATTTTATGTTTTTTTATTTTTGTTTATACCACTTTAAAAAACGCTACTTATTTGAAGTGCACCATAAATGTTATTTAATATTACTGTTATAATATTTTTAATTAATAATTTTTATCACCTTCATCTCTGTGGCTTAGAACCTCATCTTTCTTTAACGGCCACTCTCAGACTGCCAGTAGAATATGTAATCTGCTCATTTTCATTGTCAGAACTGAACCAGTTCCACCTATAACATACAAGGGCAAACAAATTATTACGCATGCAATTTAGTGCTCGTTATTTGGAGTCTTAGAGTATCAGGCCCTTAGAGTATTAGCGGAAACAGGGCACCTTAATGGGAATTATAATGATCATATCTACAGCAGATAAGTAAAATGATTTTTAAGTGTTGAAAAACTCACCTCAAAAACCTAAAACAATCTTTTTTTTTCCATCTACCTGTCTAATCAACATTTAAATCATCTAGCAAGGAGGGAATAATAGTCTGAATATCTAATATAAAACACTGATAATTTTCAGATATATGTGTGCTAATTGAAATATTTTCTTTTTTTTGTTACAAAATTAGTTCCTAACAAAACTCAGAGTGTGCAGCAAATTAAAAGTGACACAATTTGGGCTGATCCATCTGGAGTCACAGACTAATGCCAAACTGGTGTTATAGACAGAAAAACAACAGCTCTGGTGGAGAACACTGTTAAATGTTCTTAAATTGTTTTACCATTTAATTATTTTTTTCCCCAACATACAAACTTGGCAAAAATGTATAAGTTAAAGCAGGGGTGGGCAATTCCAGTTCCTGAGGGCTACTATCCTAAAACTTTTAGATGTGTCCTTGGTCCAAAACACCTGAATCACCTAAATAGATGGACTGAAGAAACTGACAGCATACTGAGGTGCTGATTCAGCTATTTGATTCAGGTGTGTTTAACCAAGGACAAATCTAAAAGCTGCAGGATGTTGGGATCCAGAGGCTTGCCCACCAGAGGGGGCCGAGGATCCCTTCCTGATGGTTTGTGCTGCTGTTGGGATCTGCGGTGCTGTCTACCTTCCTCCACCAGAGGGCGTACTGGATCTCCTGAAGCTGGAGCTGACTTCACCAGCTGCTTTTCATCTGCTCATCAGGGGACCAGTACTTAAGTGGGCTGAGGACAACACTCCAGCGCCAGAGTGTTTTGCCAGTTATGGTTAGCAAGCCTGAGCCAATCTGCCTGCCTGAATCTAGACTCCCTGATAACCTGAATCTGAACCTAATCCGTTTTTGTCCTCTCTGCTTCCAGGAAGAACCTGTCTGAAAAAAGAAACTCTGGAAGAGTTTCTCTGTCTGAAACCAGTCTGTCTGATTACCGAAGAACCCTGGAGAATCAAACCTGTCAGCCCTCAGCCTGCCGCCAGCCTCTGGAACCTCCAGGTTTCCCCCTCTGTCGCTCTGCTCTAACCTCAGAACAGGTATAAACCTGCGCTCACTCAACCAGGAAGATTGAGGGCTGAACCATTCTGTCCCCCTCTGCAGTGAAAATCAGTTGTGACCAGTCCTGAACCAGATTTTCCCAGAACCTGTTCAGTGTTTAACCTGTGTGTTTCACAATAAACCTTTGAACTTTTTCCCCTGTCTCAGAGTGTGTTCTGCATTTGGGCTAGAATCACAACCTAACATGACACAGGATAGCAGCCCTCAGAAACTGGAATTTCCTGCCTTAAAGCATGTGTGGGAAATTGAGAAGTCCAGACAAAATAATAGTGACACAATATGAGAGTTTAAGGGGTATTAACACTATATATAAATATAAATAGCAAGTCAAAGCCAAATCAAATGACTAAGACAACTTTCTTAATAGCACCAAAAAATTTAAATAACATGTTATGAGATCATCTTTCTTAAGCCACGTTATACAATAGGCCATAACTCAGTGAAATATTGCTCTCAATGTCGCTTTTTGTCTCAAAAAATATTAGATACAATTTTTGAGTAAATTATTATTTTCGTTCATTTGAATCTTAAAATGCAAATCAATTAAATATACGATATATAATGTCTATAATTGTCAAATGTTTTTCGGCATTTATTTCATTTCTCACTCAAATGCTAACTTTTCTTATTAACTGATATATTATTCATATCAGTCGGTAATTAACTCTTTTGAAAGACAAGCAGCATAAAAAAATAAAAGCCTTGAAATCTTTCAGGAAATAAGCTCCTACACTTTTTAGCCTGTGACCCCAAAAAGTAACCTCTAAAAAAATACATTTCACTCAATATTTATATATAAATATAGAGTGAAGTAATTATACTCATGGTTAAAAATATTTGTTTTTTTAAATGACGTTTAATTCATTAGACTATTTTAAAATTAGTTTTTCATTTTTACTGAAAACTTTAGTATGTAATTTTGTTTTTCATAATTAAAGGATACATTAGCTGTAATATTTGAAACAAAGTGAAAAAATAAACTAGCAAAAAGTACATATATCACGTTGCATTCATTTATTCCTCACCATTCTGCTTTAGGACATTCATTTTGACATAAAAAACAACAAACAGGACATGCTAAAGAGTGAAAAAACAAGCATGTGTGTTAGCCACCACCAAAAATAGTTCACTCATAAAAAAAAAAAAAAACACCTGAAATTCTGAATAAGACAAAAACAACAAAATGAATGGTGTGTATGTGGGGTTGGACTGCCCTTTTGGAACAGATGGATTGTGTCTGTTTTAGTCATTCACAGCTCTGCATTTCTAAGGTCAGGTGGGAATTTCTGAAGATGCTTCTGAAAGAAGACCTAAAATAATTAACTTACCTCAAAAATGAAGGCAAACGTAAAGTTAATTATAGAAACACAATGTTAAATTTAGTTTGGCAATTATAAGATGATAGAACATGACAGGAAGGGTGATAGTAAGAAGGATAGAGCTAGAAAATAGAGACAAGTTAGAAAAAAAGGGTCTGAAGCTGCCCAAACTAAGAAACTGCACAATGAGATAACCCTGAGTGACTTTTTAACTTTTCCAATATGTTGCTTTGTTTCTACCAAATTAGATAGATGTATAAAAAGCAGCATTCTTCCATTCATTTACTATATGTGTACGAGAAATATTCAGATAATCCTTGAAATTGATGTGCAGCTTCTAGCCAACTTCGATCCTTGTGGATTTCATGCAGAAGGTATTTTTTGTTAAAAAAAGGGAAGATGTTAGTAATGACAGTAAGATGGTCGGACCAGCAGGTGGCACTCTTCCCTTGTTTTTTAGTTTCACACCCACAGACTTTATGCAGACAAAGAGGCTTGGTTCAGAGAGGTGTGAGGCTAATGTCTAAGCTACATGGTAACGTGCCTTTAAGGTGCCTGATCTGTGTCTGCCTTTCTGGGTTTGTTTTGTGACTAAAGATTTAAGCCTACATTTCAGTCTTTTTCTATTTTTTTCACTTAAAAATACTAAATGTGTTTTTAATACATTTAATAATCTTAATGTAATTTCTAGAACACACTTGTATAAGTGCAGAGAGGACATGAAAAATCTATAATTCTGTTTGTAATTTCTGTCACTGCTTGCAACATTTTTTCACTACAAGTTGAACCAAATGAAACATGTAGAGCAAAAAGGGTATTAAAGAAATCTAATTAAAGTATTAAATCTACCTCAGCTTTGCAAGAAACCAAACTTTAATTTCAAGTATTTTCTCTGTTAGGGCTTTCAGGGTATCTAGCACAGGGAAACCAATTAAATCCCTCAACAAAATGTGTTTCATTTATTATTCCCTGTTTCTTTGTTCTGAGTTACTACTTTACCAAGTCAGCAACTAGATAAAGAATACAATCTAAACATTGTGATAATCCTGTAAGGTGAGTGACTGAGCTGCGGCAGAGGTGGCTCTTTTGAAGAGCAGCAGTCACTGATTGGAAACACGTGGTTTGTTTCTTTAGCCTTTTATAAAATGAAAAATCCAACTGTTTTGCAGAAGGGGAAATAGACATTAGGCATATCCCACCCTTACTTGTTGTTATTGTGTTTTAGTCTAGCCAATTTAACCATTATACATTTTTTGACTTTTTTTCACATGCTTGATTTTTTCACTCAAATTATTTATTTCATCTTTAAAATAAATATTAGCAAATCAGGTCCTCTTGTCCTTTTTCCCTCATTTTGTCACAATCCCAGGGCCAGGATGTGACAAAAAAGGGGGCTTGTCCAGGATTTGGACCCAGGGCCTCTCACTTATTCTTTAAATGTTCTCTTTTCTGGGCTGTTGCCACTAAAGCAGGCTAAGAGGGATTTAAGTCGTAAGGTCAATCAGATTACAGCAGATTACAGTGTCTTTGTGTTTAGTTTGCACCTAACCTTTTAAAAAGATATTATTATAAATAATCAGTAACTAACTTTTTCATTCCGATATGATTCAAATTTACTCTAACTGGATTAGTAAAGTATTAATTTAGTAAATTCAAGTTCATGATATAAAATTGTGTCCTATTACATTTTATTTTTCTATCATGGTTTTCAGAAGTTCCTCTGCAAGTTAACCTAAAAAGACTTGGTTGTTCTTGCATTACATCTGTATAACACTATTTATATTTCATCTACCTTACATAAATATTAGATGAATAAATTACCAAAAAAGAGTAATCAAAGGTATATGACATGTAACATCTTCAGTTCAATTTGTCAAGAAGATAAAGGTAAAGTATAGGCATTTATAGATCAAATGTGAGATTTATGTGTAGGTGTCTGTAAGTTTATGTCAGTTTCTGAAGTAGGAATACCTTTTCTAAGCTAGCAATATTGGCCAGTTGACTCTGCAGGTAATTCATCAAAATAAAATGCCATAATATTTCATTTACAGCTTTTTTCCACTGAGATCATAGTTTAGTTTTAACTGAGAAATATATAAATTGGTCATCAATTCTCTAAATCAAAATAATTCATTTTAATTTTGGTTCTAAGTTTGTTATTATTTTATCTAAAACGGCTAATTTCCGTGCACTCAGATTCTATAAGGCATGTTAGCATTTAGCTAGTTTACCTATTTAGTGATTCATCTTGAAAAAAAAAGTGTTTATGTTTATTCCTACTGCACATCTTTATCTGTTTCTTAAATGCGTTGTGTGTTTGATTTTGTGTTTTGCCGGTCAGAGGTTTCTGCTCATTCTGGTAGTTACCGGGAGGACCCCGCTGGTCCGACGGCGGGTCTGGCGAAGCCAGTGCCGTGCGAAGGCATGCCAGCGGTGAGCGGGGCGACGGGGGGGAGGGGGTTCATTAGGGGGCGCGGGGCTTTCGGGGCACGGGAGTTCCCCCGATGCCTCCTCTCCTTTATCCTGCTGTGTTGCAAAACACCAAGCACAACAAAGTGATTATTGGGCAACAGCAAGGACATACAGGATAGTGACATACAGTCAACACAAACCTGAAGCTCAAGATTAACATTTTCTTTTTCTCATGTTTGCACAACCTCAGTGAGAACAGTGTCCTTTAAAAACCTAATAAACAAACATTTTCCCCTGTTCTTTGCCTTTTCACCAGAAAGGTTCGGCTAAAGATTTACAGGCCTTATTTAATTAGAATCAAGGAACAAGTTGTGGGTCTTGATCAACTCAAGCAACTGTAAATCAGGAAGCCTCTCCAACCATACCTTCCTAAAAGGTGCTTTTAAACCAGAGGCAGTTATGAACAGTTTATTATTTAACAAGGATCCACCACACTTTTTTTTTTAATCATTATATATATATATATATATATTTTTTATTTTTTTTATTTTTTTTTTTTTACATATTACCTGAACAAAGAATTTGTTACACATAGATGATTATTGGAGTTACCAACAATCCCTCACTGCTTTTAAAGTTGACTTATGCTGCAGAGCTACAAATTCTAACGTGGTTTATGGAGGCATCAGGGTGTGTCCTTGAGGAAAATAGGTCATTCACAGAATAAAACAGTGGCCAGTCGAGTCATGCAACATGTAACAGGATCAATGGCCTCCAATATTTACCAACAGAGAATTATAATGAGCAGGCTCAATGACCTTTTCAGCAATCAATGGTGGTTAATGAGATCTGTACTAATGGAGAGCATATTCTGTTACTTCTCATCAAAAAAAACTAAGCTCCTATATTATCTGGATGAATCATATTCTTGACAAAGAATCACACCTTAGTCAGCTTTTAGTAACTGCTTCCCAGTGAAATTAGGGGTAAGGAAAGCAGACAGGATTTGTCATTTATTATCATTACTCTCTGCTGAGTCATTCCTCCATAGGCTTTTTCTGATTATGCCCTAAAATAAGTGAATAATCTGTGCCATTATATTAGATCAAACAACTTTTTTTTTCTCCACAGTTTCTAACTAACTTACTTAAGTGTTGTTGCAAAGGTTTTAAGATACAATTAGGAATATACTTTTCAGACGTATTCTGTATTTATTGCGTCTTCAAGTCAATTTTTCCATCAGAGAATAATCCAACCTTTTTATCGCCTCTGCATCAAATGGTATTCAAGAGCCCTGGATTTAGCCTCAACCTCTACCTGTTGCCTATTCAGTGATAAGTGGACTGGAAAAAGTGACGTTTATGTAATGGCCTCCCTTTTTTTGTTGTTTCTTCTCCTCTCACAGCTTAAATGAGCTCTCATCTTCTCACAGTGCTTTCATGGTTGGATAGAGTTCATTAATTTTCCTCCTTTGCTGGTAAACAGGCTCATTGCCTAATTGTAAGCCATCACAAATAATGAGCACAAACATCTCTTTATATGCCAGGAGTTTTTAAAAGCCCTTACTAATGGCATAAGAATGCCCAGATTGGAAGGACTAATGGCAAAAAAAGCCATGCAAATGATAAAAACGGCACTGACCATGTCTACATCCGTTCCTTTTTGCTCCAGCAGCAGGGGCTTCTCTTCCGTGATCTGCTGCTCCTTCATCCCTGCCATCCTGGACAGCAACCTACAAACACAGAGCAACAGGAAATAAAAGCAATATATTTAGGGTTACTCTCTGTGGCAAAACATATATCAAAAATAAATGATCAGCAATTACTATAAATAACAGTTTTAATCTCATTCTGCACTATGCAAATATTCAGGCTACACTAATGAAGATTCTCCACGGCATGTTGAATACTTAAAAGAGGCTCCAACGGAAAAAGGAGATCCATCTTCCGACCAAATTAGAAAATAATTATTTGAACACTTGGGGCACTGATAGAATGAAAAGAACATTCAACTTTCATTCCAAGATACTCAATCGATGGAAATGCATTGAAGAACAGCAATAATACATTCTTAAAGTACAGTGTTGTGATGTCATGGCAAACAAAAATAAACATTTTTGGAGATTGCTCATTTAAAACTAATTATCCTTAAAAAAAAAGAAGCATTAAAGGACTCATCACTAGGAAATTGGACCTTTATATGTAAAAAATATGAGTTGTTGGTTTAGGGTTAGGGGTTAAATTCTGGAGAGTGAAACCGGCTTGGGTATTTTGTGTGGGCTCGTAGTGAAACTCAAATATGTCCACAAGAGCTGGCTTGAAAGTGTGTTGTGAGCCCTGGAAGCGTCCTGACATTAGCCTGCCTGGCTCTCCTGCCTCTGTTCCAACTAAAGATTCTGACTATCAGGGACTCATCTGCTGGTCGATAGGTGCTGCTGTTTATTTAATTTTTTACCTATATTGTGTAAGACATCAGGAAATTATGGTAGACAAACTACTGCAAGTCTAATTCTCATGCGTGACAAAAAACAAACAAAAGAAAAGGGTATGAAAGGGGTCAGCATGAGCCCTGTTTTTTTTCCAGCTCCTGAAATTGATTTAACATGAATTATAAGTTTATTTCAAATGGATTGTAGGAGTAAAATACTCCTTTAACAAAAGGGACATTGTTACATATGTACAGCAACAGGATGGGATTAATTTGATCTCCTTTTATTTCACTCCTCAAAATATGTATGACAATTATCGCCCAATCTCTAGATTGTCTGTGCTGGCCAAACTGTTTGAATCTCTTATAAACGAGCAACTCAAACTTTTTTTAACTGAGAACTCAATTTTAAACCCATTGCAGTCTGGCTTTCGACAAGGTCATAGTACAGTCACAGCTGTTACCACAGTCACAAATGACATTTTGAATGCTTTAGATAATAAGAAGTCTTGTGCTGCAATATTCATTGATCTTTCTAAAGCGTTTGATACAGTGGACCATGATCTTCTTTTGAAGCGATTACAAAGAATAGGCTTTAGTGATACTGTACTACGGTGGTTTTCAAATTACCTTAATGATAGAACGCAGTGTATTGTAATTGATAACTATACCTCAACATCATTAGAAGTTACAATGGGGGTCCCACAAGGGTCAGTTTTGGGTCCAATTTTATTTTCTCTTTATATAAATGACTTGGGTAAGGACCTGATGACAGCAAAAGTGCATCTTTATGCAGATGACACTATTTTGTACACCACAGCTTCATCAGTGAATGCTGCATTTGCACAATTGCAGTCTGCTTTTAATCATTTACAAACATTTCTTATTGAATTAAAGTTGGTACTGAATGCTAAAAAAACTAAAACAATGACATTCACACATTCACGATCCTCACCTAACATTAGTGTTTCAACACAAGATGGCACTAAAATAGAAGGAGTATCATCTTACAAGTATTTAGGCATCTGGTTGGATGATAAGATGTCCTTTGGTGTCCATATTGAGAGCCTCTGTAAGAAACTTAGACCAAAGTTGGGTTTTTTCTTTAGAATGAGGAAGTGCTTTCCCTATCTTGCGAGGAAAAGGCTAGTTCAGAGCACATTCCTGTCAGTGCTTGACTATGGGGATACACTGTATATTCACTCCAGTTTATTCTTACTTAAAAAACTGGATGTACTGTACCACTCTGCCTTACGTTTTATCACAGGTGCATCAGCTAGGACTCACCACTGCACTCTCTATGAAACTGTACAGTGGTCTTCTCTTTACATGAGGAGAAAAATTCATGTACTGACTTTTATTGCTAAAGCCCTTATGGGTAAACTACCTTTATACATTTTTAATTTACTTTCCATTCAAGATAGTACTTACAGGACTAGGTCATCAGAAAAAATACTTTTACATACTCCATTTACAAGAACTGAACTAGGAAAAACAGCATTTTCATCATTTGCACCTAAAGTATGGAATGAACTTCAAGCCACTTTAAATCTTGAAGTACTTCCATCCATAAATTCTTTTAAAGACCTGTTAAAATCATCATTAACTGACAGATGCAACTGTTTTTGATTGGATGCCTTATTTGCTGTTTGCTTTTTGGTTGTATGTGTATGCCCAATCTTGTTGTGTTGTTTTTAATTTTGCCTAGATGATATGTAGCTGTGGTTGTCTTGTCTCCTGGGGTTTTATGTTAATGTAACTTTTTAAGCCGCCTTCTTGGCCAGGACTCCCTGGAAGAAGAGTTACTTTAACTCAATGGGACTTTCCTGGTTAAATAAAGGTTAAATAAAATAAAAAATAAAATGTATGCATGGTGCATGGTGAGGCATTTTTAACACCTTCATTTAACAAGAATCTTCAGTTTCTGGGGAGTTTTCCAAATGATAGATTCCCCTCCCAGTTAGTCAGGCGAGAGGACAGACTAAAAGTAATTCAATCGGCAATACCAAGGGACCAAGTTACTTTGCCTGGAGGAGTGATGCTGGAGCCATGTGCTGGAGCCAGTCTTGAGTTAAATGCTCATCAACAAGTGTCTGGTGACTGGACTTTTACAGATGGTTTATTTTGAGGGAGTTAAATGGGACCAAGGGAACTGAAACAGAGCCCTGAAACTATAATAGTTAGTAGTTACTGAATGTGTTAATACTGAAATGCATTATTGCATTATTTTCCTTCTATTTTACAGAAATTAGAAGTTTTTAATTTTACATAGAGAAATTATGTACAACAAGACAGTGTGATTTTGAGTTAAATATATCTAAGGACATTTACCCAACATCACACCATGAATAAATCATAAATCATAAACAATAAATAAACATGAACAACAAAGAGCCCCATCTCAGATCTAAGTTAGATCCAAGTTAGGTAGAGGTCATTACATTTAAGCAGGACACATCTGTTAGTAAATAAAATGCGCTTTGGTAGGTTTCCATCTGAATAAGTCATATTCATCATCAAACACATCTGGAATTATCCCATGAAGAGATGAGGGCAGCACAGAGATGTTTGCCCCAATGGTTCTGGATGAGCTTATGTTATTTAGGACGTTTTACAGGCATGACAAAAGTAAAATCCCACAAAAAAGAATGTTCTGATTCCTTTGTAAACCCCAAACAAAATTCTCCAAATGTAAAACATATATCATATTGCTTAATACTAGCTTCCATTTTTCCCAGATAGATTGTTTTTTTTTTATCTGTGCTTCATTACACATTGTTCTCCAATTATGCTCCAAATATTACACTGTTTTTACCTTTAAAATAAAAGGTTTAAACATTTAAGACATTTGTTTCCATTTTCTGAAGTCTCTGCAAAAGCACAGCTAAGTGGGATCCTTCTGATAACAAAGACATTTAAATCAGGAGGTGAAATAGATGCTTACTGACCGAGATTACTGAGCTGTAGCGGGGCTTGGAAGCACACAGGCTATTTTCCAAAAGATAATAAAAGGGCTGGGACTTGATAAAAGCCCTAATCAGGATGAAGTGTTGTGTTTAAACATGCAGCCGACACACAGTTCCATGCAGCATACACAAGGCACATCAACACACAAACTGATAATAAGGTCAGACAGCAATAATACAACAACAGTGCTAGTACATGACATCAGCCCACCAACACAGAAACGCAGAGTAGAATGACTTCGCTGATACTGCCAAGGGCTACTACAGCTTTAAAGGGTTGGTGGCCTAAATGATCCGTGTGTGAACTGCAAAATGTTCCTGTAAGATTGTTTTCATGTTACAGTAGGTAACACTCCATGGGCAAATATATTTCTGGAAAAGGCAAATAAATGGGCACAAATACCCATCAAAAATCAAACTTTACAGAGCCAGGAATGCAAATTAAATCAAGTTTCTGAATAAAAACAACAACAAAAAAACAAAAATAAAGTTTATATTATAAACGTTTGACAGTGTTCTGTTTAAATTACATATATATATATATATATATATATAGCACAGTATTCTATACCCAGCTATTGTAGTATCTAGGCTAGAGCTTTCAGTCTGGTAAGGAACCTCCTTGTTATTCAAAATTCGAAAGGTTAACTGTTTTTTAATTACAACATAAAACTGACTAAAACTAGACTTAAACCTTTTAGAGTTTTACTCGACTAAAACCGACTAAAACTATCACATATTGTAATGACTAAAATGTGAATGAAACATATAATAGTTTTCATCCTGAAGGTGAAAAACTAAGACTAAATATAAGATGGCTCCCAAAAATAACACTGGCAATCAAATAAGAGCAGCACTACTTCAAAATGTTTTTAGTGGTAAAAAGTAGTCATCCAATAAATTACTGAAATTGTTTTTTTGTTTTTTTTCTCCATGTATTTGGTAAATAGGCTACCCAACAACTGAGTAATTGTTGTCCCCTAAAATCTTATTAAATGTTTATAGAAGATGCAGTCAAACAAACATTATGTGAAAGTTCTGGTGTTTTAAAGACTAAAATACATACAAAAATATAAATAAATAACATGATTACAAAATTACAAATTCATAAAAAAAAACACTTTTCCAAATCCAGTTTTTCCATCATTAAATGTATAAAACCATTCCTTTCAGTGAGAAATACATATTTGCGAGTGCCAGCACTTTTACTCACAATATCTACTGTTTACTGCATTTTCACCTGACCTCTGAATAGCTCGTTACTCACAGTGGGCCGACTACAGAGTGATAGATTCACTTAAGTAGGATTTGCAATACATCACAAAAATGCAAGTACAGA